CACAGTTGACAGGGCAACCTGTTGCCTTTTGCACAGTGTGTGTCGTCGTGTTTCTCATTTGCCATCTTATCAGAGGAATCATAGTGAATGGGAGCTAATGACCAGCTCCTCCCTCACCGGTCATTAACACGACACTGGTTTCCTGAGGCAGACAGATTCAAAGGTTAAAAGCCTTTTATTGGAGCTGTGTTGTTGATCTCTGGCCCTGCAGTGATGGCGGAGGTGACTCGTGGATGGACGAGGTCCCACAGGTGACAGATGGAGATGTTTTTAGCCTCCTAATTTATTCCTGGGTGATGCAGGGAACAATATAACTGGGAGACAGGAGGCTATTTTTTTGTCTGGTTCCTCTCGGTTTTGCCCTCAGTAGAAGGGTCATTAAGGTGGTTATGACTTTAATCAGTTCCTATTTGTCTCCAAAAACATCTTGTGCACTGCTTGTTGCCCTGTAATGACAGAAATATGAAAGTCATATTTTCATAATAAGATGATAAGATGTTGCTTTATTGATTCATGTTATGTTCTTTGTGATTTGGGGTACAACTTTCCACAATGGAGAGTTAGGAGTGGGAATTCTTTGAAATCCTTTGATATGGGTGTGAATACAATACTGATACAAAAACAATACTTTTTAAAATTCCTTGGTTTAAGGATCACAAATATGTTTCTGTTCTATATATTTTTCTAAATGCAAGTCATAGAGAAGAGTTCATTTATGCTAAAGCACAGTGCATATGTAGAGCAGCAGCACAAGTAGAAAAAAATACACTCATTAAGTCAGCAAACTGACCCAGTAATGTCAGTAACATGGAAATATCTAAAGTCTGCTAACGTGAGCCACCAGCTACTGCTCATATTAGCCAAGGCTGTAGTGGTGAAGCTGTAGTGATTGAACTGTTTTTATTGCTCATAAATTCAACACTGCAGAGACCTGAGGCGACGTAGCTTTGACATCGGTTTGGTGTGTCAGGGATTTTAGACCCTCAGCTGACTGGTAAATGTTTGTGTCTCTCCAGCTCCAGTCCCCTCAAATTGTAATGCAAACTGTTAACTGTTCCCCTCATGATGTTGTGGAAACTCAACTGATCTACATGTGCAATATCAGTGGAGAACCCCTTTAACACAATCTGACCAAGCCTTCAATGCCATCTTTTACTACTTTACAGGTTTCAATAGGTTGAGTCTATGGACACAATTCACTGTTACCATACCTATCCTAAATAGGGTGCCGCTTGATTTCAAACTACTATTAGAACAGCAGAATTACGTTGTTAACAGTGTATTTGTAGGACATGGTTTGTCATTTTTTAAATGCTCAGCATTGTTCAGTAAACTAAAACAAACAACCCACAAAGGATTACAAACAGCAGATTCAGTTTTGTTTTTCCTGAGATTGTACTATCCTCTTCATCAGTATAATGGTGGAAAGGTTTTGTGTGTACACACCTTGGGTACTTCTAAGATGTAGATCAGGTGGTGTAGGAACTCATTTTCTGGGTAAATGTTGCTTTGGAGCAGATTATACCTGGAAAAACTGTAATGGCATGCAAAGCTGAGCCATCAGTGATGTTGAATCACGTCTGAATGAAGGTGTGTTTTTTTTCCTTTTACAGCCAATCATGACACCAGCCAACATTCACTGTTGAAAGTTATTTTAATCAGTGAATTCCCCTCCTTTAATGTCCGGTTGGAATTACGTTGTGTACAGTATACGCCTGGTGTTTGGCACACAGGTGTTTTTAACCATCATGCAGCCTTTTGTGGTGTGCAGTGTCGGCTTATCCTGCCAGTAGAGTAAAGGTCATGTCCTTGGTGTAGCAAAGGAAGAATAAACTGGAGCTCAGCGGTGCCTACTCGCAGCAGTTAGCAGGTATTTATTTACGAGTTTATCTCTGTTGGTGTTCTTCGACCCGGCCAGCATGAAAGGTTTGCACTTACTTTAGTGCAGCCTGTCTTCGCCTCAGAGGTTAGTAATGATGAGTTATCTTTGGGTAACGTAGCTGGCCCACGGCACCCGACCCCCGTGCCTTGGCTCCACCCCTCAGTTCCTGTTTCACGCCCCTGCAGAAAAGGACACTGTTATTTCTGGGTACCAAGGTTAGGCTAGGGCATGTGTGAGATTTGGTCGAGCTATGTCCTGGCAGAAAGTCCAGGACACAAGAATACTGTTCAGCAGTGTCAGTGAAATAATTTACACTGTATGTGAGTGGAAGGGACTTTATATAAATTCTTGCAATGCTTCAAAGACTGAGTTTACAGTCGGCATGTGGCATATTGCGATATGATCTGCCCATCTGTTTCTGGAGGCTTTTCCCCTCGAGTCAGCTGTTTGATGTGGGTGGTGGGGTCACGGTGGTGGGGGTGTTAGACTATACTGATGAGAGATGCATGAAGTGGCTTTGGCTGCGTCCACTGTTTGTGGACGTTCTACAGTGGCAAGTTTCCTCTTCTAGCTTGGCTTCATTTCACACCTCACTCTTGGGCTTTGGCTCAGTTCCGAGGGACTGACATAACAGCTTTGTTTCTGTATTGTGTGGCATCGGATCAGATAAAAGATAAACAGTGACCACACACGCCCATTATGTTGAAGCACCACGGTTGCAAATGTTTGGTTAAATTCAGCAGCCGTTAAATGTTGGATTTTTGGAGAACACTGCAAAACTATTGCTTTGACACGTCTTATGATTTTGCCAGTCATGACATATTTTCTCTTTAAGTGCAACTACAGCCTCCAAGTGGAATCATCACGTTCCTAAGCAGGACTGTTGTATTACACTGCAGCAGTTTTAGCGAGGTGTACCAAATAATAAACTGGCGAATGAGTGGAGTTGAGGTTCTTAGTTCCTTAGTTAGGATTTTCTTATATGCTAATTCTGTCTTTTTCTGTTTGTATTGGTTTTATTGTGCTTGAACTTCGTGTAAGCATCAAGTGCATTGTTTCTTGATTTATAGTGTTATGAGTGGGAGGTATATTTCAGTGGTATATTACTCACAGTAATACACAGAAAATAGCATAATAATCCAAAGTAATACAGCAGCAGAAACATGTAACAACAAACAAAGTTGTTCTACTGGGTGGGAACTGGAAAACCACAGTAAGGGGCTAAAACTCCATTGTTTGGATTTCAGACCATCATCACAGTAAAGACAATGACAACAAACAGCAGCCCCCTTTGTACCACTTCCTAAAAAGCCTCTGTGTAAAACACTCTGGGAACTGGAAATTGCAGAAACAACTTCAGTGTTTCATCAGTTTGTTGTGAAGCCGGCAGATGAGCAACAACCAACTGTATGAACTATATGACCTATAACATCTACTCCGAGCTGTGAGCTACAACACAGACATGAATACGTACACTGTAGTTTATGCAATTATACACATACTGGCTACTGTACATGCTCTTCATATTCGCAAAGCAGTACATGTACTGCACAACAGACTTTTAATGACATGTTTGGGGTTTGTGACTAAAAGGCCACACAGTTGAATCCTTGTACTATCTGGGGAAAAAAGCAGGGAAAGTTAATGAGTGGCTATTGATTTGATATATTTAAGGTTAGACAACTGGAGGCCTTAAGGAAACCCAGAGGGTAACACATCAAAGTGTAAAATAAATTCAATTGTAGTTGATGATTTAATAATAACGATACGACTGCGTCCATCAAGGATGTTACATAAGTGGCTGCGTCCAAAAAAAGACACGTAAACCAGAGTAATGTGATCCACCTCAATGTACATACACAATAGAGAGACAGTCTGGCGTCTCTTCAGGCGCTGCCGCCATGGCAACGACAAACAGCAGTATGGGCCCTTTAAAAAATGAAAGCAGCAGCAGCAGGCTCACGTGGAGTCGATGAAGTTATTGAAGATTAAGTGTGGATCTTCTCAGCTGTGAGGAGCTGTGAACCAGACCAAAGGACCTGGGCCCGTTCTTATCAAACTGCTGTAAAGACTCTTCACTTTGATTCCTACTTATAGACCGAAGTGAGCGGACACCTTCTGACAAATGTTGAGGAGTGTGCAATAAACTATACAACAATTATTATACATACATATCTATATCAACATACCAGAAATTCTTTCTAACTAAAATGTTCAAATCTAATCTTTTTTTCTTGACTGTTGCAATAACCCAGTTTCCTCATGAATCAATAAAGGTTTTCTTTTATTGTGTTAGAGCTGATTTTACAGAGCTGACTTCTGTTTCACAAATGGTGGATGTTGCAACGCTGCATGGACTACTGTGGTTATACAGATATATATATATATATATATATATATATATATATATATAAATAAATAAATTAGTATTTTTT